AGATAGATGGATAGGTTTGCTAGTCAATTTCCCTTATTTATGGGTATACCAACCTCTCTGTATGTCTGTGGACGTGGCTCTTTAAATTGGCTATATTTTGATATCATTATAATATTGAAAATTCCTAGACATCTTCTAAGTCTTTGGTATCATTCTTTCGGTGTATTTTTGATACTCATAATCTTAATCCACTATTTCAATATATGTATTTATCAACCACCCACCTTTTAGCGGACATACATATGTATGTACATATATCCTTCCATTTTCCCTCTAACATTTGCCTGAAAATTTTACATATGGATGTGTTTGAATCTACTGAAATCTATTGAGCTCAGATCTCGCAAAAAAGATTGTTCTGTAATCCTTACTGATCCAGGCAAGAAGGGGAAATAATTATAAATTTTCTGATCATCTTTTTGCAGACTTAAAGGCCCCACCTTTACCGTGTAGGGCATTCGTACTTAGGAAAAGAAACTAAAGAAGAACAAACACCAGAACAGACCAGGCAGAAGCAAAAGATTTCACGACTTTTGACGCTGTAATAATTTTATTTTATTTTCTAATTCTGGCAACAGTTGGATACCAGATTCGAGATAAATGTACTATTTCATGCTAATTCTTTTATTTTATCTTTGACATTTGTGGCGCTATATCTGACGCGCTCTTTCGGCCTTCTGTGCTCTGTTCTTTGAAGGGCGTCGGAAAGGGGGCTGGGGGTGTTTGGGGGGTGTGTGCGTGGGTCTACACCATATTTATTCTAGTTGTTTTTTTATAAATAGAGTTTCCTTCTCTCAGACTGTATCTCTGGCCCATTATCATGTGCTACACGTGCCATTCATTTAAGTTGACTTTTATTCCTATATTTTATTTATTTATTTCTATTTGGTTTTCGTTTTATTGTATGGAAAATTTTCGCCTGAACTTGTCTAAACTTGATCTATTTCATGCTCACACCAAAATTCATATATTTCAGCTAAGATCGGCATAGACAGAAAATTATATGATCACTCGAAGCATGGACTCGTTGCTAGGAGAACAATATCCAACTGACAGATTGATTATCTTTTCAGTAATCATTAAAGATCATCTTCGAACGGTCATTGGTTTGTAGAGATGGAGAACCCATAAGGACTCGCATCACTCCCACATCATCTTGGGATTTTCATTCCCAGCCAATCTTAGGATTGGGACCCCACTCCCACTCATTCATAGCTCTTTATCGAATGATTCATTTGAAATCACCTTTTAAGTATCCTCCCATTATGGATATTCCATTAAATTTAATCACATTTTTTTGTACAACATTGTACAACTTTGAAAATAGCCCCAGAAAATTTTCCATTGGGTTGGAAACCAGTTTTTCCCGAACTCGAGGGGCTTCGAGGGAATAAAATATAGACTCTGAATTATGTATAAGCATACACATATGATATATACTGTAGACAATCCAAAGAGTTTTCTGTCTCCCTCTCTCCCCATCGAATGGCCATTGATGAGGCGGCTTTTTTTGTGAATGTCGTATTGATTTTATTGCCCTCTCCGCTTGAACTCTGAGGCAACTGCGTAGAACCCAGGCCAGACACGAAAATCAAATTCAAATCCGTAAAAGAAATGCTCAAAATTATTCTGCAATGTCAACGAATATTTCGCTGTGTGTCCGTGCCGTGGCCGCGTCCCTGTCCGTGTAAGGTGACATTTCCTGCGCCTCCACCAGAAACGGCCTTCGAAGCATTTTCTCTCGGTCAGCCATTCACTGACTGACTGACCACTTGGTGTGGGGGCATGGGGGCATGGGGGCGCTGGTCTTTGCTGCATTTGGGAACATTTCGGTTGTTTTGGCTTTCACAAAAATGCTGACACTTTTTTCTGTTTCGCCCTTAAATTCGCAAAAAATGCACAAAAATTCATCGAACTTAGGCGAAATTCAATTTCTCACATCAGCTGAGAAATTTCGTTTTATTGAGTATGGAAACTGCACAAAGAACTAAAGTCCATACTTGAGGCTTATATGGGGCTATGCTTAAACATCAGTTTTCAGGTTCTTAACAATGAATAAATAAATATTTAAATGATATTTTATGCTACATATATATTTGGAAGAACTATGTATTTGAGGCAGATTTATACAGAAAATATTTATATTTTTTGTGCTGAAAAATACTATTCCATTGAATTAATATTTTATTTGTATTTTGTTTTCATCCACATACAGCTTTCCAGGCCCATTTGGCCTTTGGCCTAATACATAATCAATTGAATTAATGAATTAAATTTCAGTTTCTGGATATCAGTCTTTTCCCTTTTTTGCAATTATTTCGAGTGGCGTGGCCTCCCCTTCGATCTGTACTATCAGCACTTATGCACGAACATATGTATATGTATATATATATTTGAACGAGTATTTTGGTTTGGCTCTGCACTTGAAACTGTACAAAACTGATGGAAAAAACCTTTCGTTTTGAATTTCCATCAAAAAAAATAGAATGCATTTTCCCCCGAGGCAGGGAGCTGGCGTTCTCAAGAAGTAAATTTGAGAACCCCGGAATGTCTGACTGTATGCATTTATTTGATTTATTGTTGGTTATTTTTTGTAATATTTTTCGTTTAAGATCATGTTAACGGGAACGACGGAAAGACGGAAAGACGGAACGGAAGGGCTCATATTTTGCACGCGCCAAATTTGTTGCCTTCACTTCTTTGCTTATGAGACTCCGACATTGCGGAATGTTTCCTGTACGATCGCCCAGCCAAGGGAATTCCTTACTATCAGGAATTTATGCTACCACCACACGAAACTTGAGTTTCTGGGAGCGCCTCTTCTTATATCACATCTTAGAAAATCATTGGACAATCCTTGGCACAAGATCATGGGGTCCAAGGGTATAGCAGAGGAATATGTTCTGCATTTATTAGCATGGGCTTCATTTACCTTCTTTATACAATGTATCTATATTCCTGTAGCTTTTACCGTCTACATATTTTTCAGACATTTTGATGTATTTGGATCTATTAGCCCTTTGGTTAACCCATTGTTGCCGCGCTTGTTTAATATTATATTTTTTTTTTTTGTAATGAAAAGCGAAAAAAAAGTATTGTATCTAAATTGATAAGTATTTTATAATTCTATATATTTTTTATTTATTTAATTTTGTGTTATATATTATATTAATTTTAAGAGGTAAATATCAATTTTCCTCTAAATAAAGTGAATTCCATATCTAGTATTCCCAAAAAGTTTCTATTCGATGGAAAAGTGTCTAATGTATCTTTTTTCATCGAATGTATCTTTCTGCTTCATTTTTGTTCTCTTGCAAAACCCAAAGGCCTCTGAAAATCCATTCAGGGTAGGGTATCCACAATTCCGTCTCTGCGTCTTTGAGTCTTTGCCTTCTTTTCTTTTTGTTTGATTTCATTTTATCTCACTTGCTACATAGGAAAACCAAAACCAAAGCAAAACAAAAAACACCAAACAAAACAAAAACAAAACGAAATGAAACTTTGCGGTTGAGTTTCTATTTTCCCACGCGCCGTCGCTTGTGGAGTAGGAGGAGAAGGGAGGAGGGTAGAGGGTGGAGGGTGAAGGGTGGAGGGCGGAGAAGGAAGGAGAAGGAGAAGGAGGCAGAGTTGGAGAAGGAATACATACATATGTGAATTGTTCCGGAGAGATACATGTGCTGCCGGAGGGAGGGAGCAGGGAGGAAGGGAACCTAAACATTTGCTCACCTTTATCACAATTGTGTGTGTGTTTTGAAAGCTTTTCCACGCACGCACACACGCACGCACACGCACGCACCACGCACACCAAAGCACTCGATTAATTTATAAGAAGTTTCACGCACCTTGCCCCCCGTAACCATGACACGCGTGACGAATCAGCAACAGTTAGCGGTGGGTAAGGGCCAGGGGCTGGGGGCAGGGGGCACGGCAGGCAGTGCTAACCCCTAGAGTACGATTATCGCCTACTTGTCGGCGTATGTATATAATATATACCTAGAGAAAAAAGTCCTGCGAGGCCCCAATAACGATACTTAGATATTGCCCGAGAATGGAAATATTAAAATCGAAGTGATCTTTACTTTTGGACAAAAGTTTGAGCAAAATTTATCGAAATGTATTATTGTAATGTAACGTAATTTTGTTTTGTTTTATATCTAAATCAAAGTTCATTCAATTTTATTATTTTTGTATTTAAAAAACGAATAGTTCCTTTTAATACGCCGTTTTTCTCTCAGTGTACACTCCTCATATTGAGTTTTAAGCCTAGTTTTCAAGAACTTTGCAAGATTGATAAGTAGACACTACAATTTCCCAACTATTACGTTTTCAAATGGAAAATTAAAGAAGTTTTTTTTGGTATTTTTCTCTCGAAATATTAAATTAAAAATCCAGTAAAAGTCGATGAATACATTATGATAATTGAAGAAAAAAGATCACAATCCTCGGAATATCTTTGGGATCGCCAAAGCCGATAGCCGATAGCCGATAGCCGCACGACTGGCACAAGCGACCAAAAGGCAGAAAAAATGACAACCGGAAGGCCGGCCACCTCGGCTCGGCTGGATTTCAGTGCCTAGGTGCTGTGCTATCCGATCTGGTTTGGTTTGATTATTTGGACATTTCCATACACTTGTCATGCGCCATCGATCGTTCGGTTTGTGAAGGGTTTTCGTAGAGCTACGAACCGGAATGGACCACCAACAAGCCAAAGCCAAAGCCAAAGCCAATCCCACCTGAGCCTACTGGCCACACTTTGTATGAGCAACCAAGCAGGCCCGTGCCAATTGATCAATACGGCGGCTGGTTGACCAATGAATGTATAAATTGTGCGAGTATTGGCACAGTGGTTGGATGGTCGGCAATACCTAAAAAGAGACAACCAGACGTCTTGAGAGATTTCGAATGGAAACCCCCTACATATTTCGTAATTGTTTGACAGTTTCAAACCAGTTTTATCAGAGAACGGAACATTTTACTTAATTAAATTTGAATTCACTCGATTACAGATCGAAATTATCCCAATCATCGATGTCCTTCTCAAACATATCGCTATCGTCATCGGGTTTTCTTCGCGTGTGGTTCGGGTCGTCGTACACTCGACACGTCTCCAGGCACTCAGCCTTTGTGTAGAACCGATTCGGATTGCCGCCACAGCCGCCGTAATAGTAGAATATGCAGCGATTTGTCAGATAGTCAAAGCCCCAGACCTTGACCCAATCTTTGCAGGGACCCGGATCCACCAGATATATGCATTTGGCTGTGTGATTGGACTAAACGCTTGTAAGTTATAGGAAATACAAATCTAGTTGGCTGACCATTGAGAAACTTACGTTGCCGCACCGTGAATCCCTGTGGCACAAGACCCGCCACAGGCGCCACCAGGAGCTGTCCAATTGTTAGATATAGATACATTGCTGTAATTGGGAAACTATATTCTGTCATATATACAATCGATTGGCACTCTTGTTGAAGTAAGACTCAATGCTAATATGATTCGAACGATAGATCCGCACAGATCGTTCTCTGCAACTCGATAAAGATGGGACCACATTCGGGGAAAAGGACTTCGAATCGCCACCAGAGCGTCTCTTCTTATAAGTATGCTCGTAAGTGCTCGTTTGGATGTACATATATTTGCATTCCTAAAGCAATTTGTTTTTGAACCAGTGTGGCTTAGCTTCACACATGCCTTGCCATGCCATGCGCTCGACCAGGTTCAGGGTCAACGATGTAATATTTTAATTTATTTCGCGTTCTTTCTGCCCTACACGTTCTCTGTCTCGGTCTCTCTCGGATCCAATTTTGTATAGATCCTTCGTCTATATACTTAGAGACTGCTGGGACCGACACGGTGGACGCTTTCTTTGCTTTTTGTTTTGCTCTCCGATTCGTAAGCCGCACTCTTTCTACCCCCCTTTGTCCCCCTTTCCCTGGGCTGCCCGACCCAGTTAGTCTGTTCTCCTCTTCTGTGGATTTCTGTGGCTTTCCCATGGCCAATGGGTCCTCCTATTTCATTCTTTGGGGTTCATTATGTAGGAACTTTGTTTCGGCTTTCGATATGTTCATTAATCATTCGCCGCATATTGAGTGGTCATCCCTCTTCGCGGCACAACCCCCCTACCCCCTTTGGCAGCTCCCTTTTTGGGGCTTTTGTTCCTCCAATTTGCTTAATTAACTTCTAAACGTCGCCTTTGGCTTCTTTCTGCGATATTTTGCACTCTTCCACTCCAACTTCCACTCCTTTCCCACTGTGTTCTTAGAGGGCTCGCATGGGGCATGCGAAATTCCTCTTTTCGACTAATTAGCAGTTTCGTTTTGTTCTTTTATCTTCGGAGACTTTGTCTTCATCTGCGATTCGGGCAAGCACTTTTTCACAGTCGCTGCGGAATTTCTCTCAGTGATCAAGTCAATATGACTATGGACATTTCAGCGGACAATAAATAGCGGTTCAAAGTTTATCGATCTGGATATCTTTCTCTAAAGCCTCCTCTATCCGCACCATCAGTAATAAATGGTGGAGGTCGGAAGAAATAGTTTATGCGGAATACTGATTACTGATGCTAAAAATATCATACTGATACTAGGCTTAAGGAACTACTTTTAAATATTTTATTTTGGCTGAATTTCGAATTTATCAAAAAATCCATTAAATTTAAGTTTATAATATTTTAATTTACTATTAATTACGATTATTATTATTGTATTATATATTGTAATTATAATACTACTTATTATAGGCAGATATATTTTTAAATCAATTATTAATATTAATATGTATTAAATAAATATTTGTTCTACTTTACTTTGTAATTATATTTAAATTAAAATTTCTTTTCTATTTCGGGAATGTGATTCAGCGAAGACTTCTTATGTGAATCCCATTAATTGTTCCCTCAATTCCGCTTATCATATAACCCAAGAAAACCGTCGAAAATGTACCCTCAAGCACCCTCGGACCCGGTTCGACCTTGGTTGATTTGCAAATTTATTGTTGCTGCTGCCTGGGCTTTTTCATGGCTATAAAGTATTATGGAAATAATTAAAAGATTTGGCAGGGTGCGTAAAAAAAAATGCTCGAGTTTCAAATGTGAAAAAAAAAGAAATGAAAATGAAAATAAAAATCGTATTTTATACACATGCGATTAACGTCGCATTTTTGCAGAATCGCGCGATACGGACCTTGATTGATAACTAAAATACACATATACATATGTATGTATACATATACATATTTAAGTATGTATGTATGTGTGTATTTATGTACGCACTAAATATAGTTAGTGATAGTTGTGCTATAGCAACTAGCCGACGTTCGGGAAGTGAAAGACCTTCGAAGCGAACGAAAAGAGAGAGAGAAAAGAAAAATGCTGAAAAGTGATAGTAAATTAGCTTGGTTTAGCTTGAATTATATGTATGTTTATACTACCACACTCAAGTGTATGACAATTGATAAGATTCCGTGCCTCAGATATAGATATTGCGTGGCCCCGCCCTCGCCCCCGCCCTTAAAGCACTACAGATTTCACTATGCTCGCACACGTTTCATCTAAGGGGTGCGGGGGGGGGGGGGGGGGGGGGGTCTTAATTAGCGACATTCTGAAGAGAGATGAGTGGCGGACGCTTTGATTAGCGTCGGTCGTGGCGGCAGTGGTGGCTGGGGGAATCACACAGCGAAGAGTGCCGAAACCAGATCGCTGGATAAGCCCTTGGAGGAGCGGACGGCCAGGGGGAGGCAAGATTTAACGGAAGTTGGGGCTGGGGCTGGAGCTGGAGGATAACTGTAAATACACCCAGGGAAAAAAGCCCTGAGAGCCCCAAGAGTGGAAGTATCAAAAAATATTTTATCTAAATACATTTCATATTTAATTAAAATATTTTCACATTTAAGTAAAATTATTTCATATTCAAATTCAATATATTTCCTACAAATAAATTATATTAAATTGGTTTTATATTTGGCATAAATATGGGCAGTATTTTTAATACAAAGTGAATTTAATTTAATTTTAAAAACGGAATACTTCCTTTACTATGCCATTTCAAGCTCAGAAGGACGGGAAGCAGTTAGTATAAATATTTATTGAAAAATGAATTAAATTGAAGTCAAGCAATACAATCCAATTTTTAACATTGAAGATCCGTTGATTTTGATCGCTCATTCAGTGGATCATCCATCCAATACGATGCCCACTGAACTGCAAAGTTCAAGCAAATGAAAGACAACTTGGTCGATCGCCCTCAACTTCCTCTTTAAACTCTAGACATTTTGAGGTGCCACCAGGAACAGCGGTGGGCCCCAGGCGGGCTAAAATTAACTTAGCCCAAAACTGTTCACTTTCCCACTCCCTGCTGGTTGCTGTCGTTGCCAGTGGAAGGCGAGAAACTGCAGCTTCTAAATCTGTTAGGACAAAATGTGTCTAAGGCTGACCAAAAATATCCATCAGATATGTACATATGCGCATCTGTATCTGTATCTGTATCTTTGGGCCGGTGTTGTGCAGTTTAAGGGTTTGCCGAACGCATCGCGGCTGATATTTTTGTTGGCTGCAGCGTTGGAGGCAGCGGCAAAAGGTCACGCTCTTGGCTGATAGAGATGGAGAGGGACAGACAGATAGAGAGTGTGGCAGACGGACAGACAGACGGGCGGACAGATAGTGAGTTCTGAGTGACAGAGAGAGCAAACAGAGAACCGAAATGGAAAGCAAAAATTCTGTTATCCAAAAATAAACAGGAAAATTATCTGAGCACACAGACGCACACGCACACACACACACACACACACAGACCAACACACACGCAAGGAGGGAAATATTAGTTTTGAGAAGGAAAAATGAAGAGCAAGATTTTTCCGCTTATCGTGCGTGTGTTTAATGATTTTCCCTTGACGATAACCTCAAGTGCAACATTGACGAGAGACGTCGGGGGTCCCAACGCAACGCGACGCGACGCGCATCACAGCGCATCACAGCGCAGCGCCCTGCCCTCGAGTTCTGCTGTGAAGTGGCAGGTATGCCACTCCCCCATCCCCACCCCACCCCACCCCGACTCCGACTCCGACTCCGATTCTCCTGATCTGATGGTGGCTGCCTCCTCTGCTCACCGCCCTGGGGTCGTTTTGCTTACGGGTACGGATATACCCTCGTACCCGTGGGGCCCAAAGGTATACTCGCGCTCTCGCTTCGTTTCTTCGTTTGGCATTCGAGTACGAGGAAAATGTTGAATATTCCGCTCACCCGAAAGTGATGATTGCTGCTATATTAAGACATGAGTGATGTGTAAAACCTTTACTCACCGCTCTACAAATTGTCAGTCCATCTTGAACAAACAAGTCGCTGAATTTGATTTAAATTCTAGTAATAATGAACAGATTTAACGAGGTAAAGATATCTTATAGAGGATGTGGAGACAGCGGTAGTGTAGAATTCAGATGCGTATTGATAGAGGTAAAAACTAGAGCATATAGTTAAGTATCGGACAAGGAAATATAACATACTATAAGTTAAAAGCAAGTTAGAGCTAAAAGATTGATCCGAATTGTTCAAATATACCACTTGTTGATCCTACGACTGAAAATAGTCTTCAGGAGTATATATGTATGAATACTGAATGAGTACTCGTGAATGTTGGGTATTTTGTAGTCGAAATACTGCAGAAAATACGTAGTTCGTTCTTTGTGTTTATTTCTTTTGTTCTTTTGTCTTTTTGGTGTTGATTGTTTTCCCCCGTGGCGCGGGTCTTGGACTCTTTGTGTGTTCAGTTTCGGCTGCTCCAAAACGCATCTTTCGCTGTCGAGTGGGTCCTTTGCCCTGTGCCACTTGTGTGCGCCACTTCTCGAGCACTTTTCCGCGGCTCACAAGTGCACCACTGCCACACAAGCAAGTGCTTCATCGGGGGTGGAGGATAGGCATTAGGGAGCCGAGTGGGGTCCCTAGGAAATACCCCACAAGCGTTTTTTATTCATGGGATGCTTGAAATTAGTGGATGATCAGGAGAGGGGCAAACCGGCAGTCAAATTGGTAAGCAAAACGATAAGGATAATGGATTGATCTCAATATGGAAGAACCTGATGCACATATGTACTTTGCACATCTATTTCAAGGGAAACTCGTACCTTAAAGTATTTCAGATTTCATTATAAGGATCTCCTCGAAGAGAAACTTCTTATCCCAGTCCAATCCATGGTATTGGTATATTCAAACAAAAATTATGATTCTAAAATCTAGGCTCTTCCTACTCAAAAGGTTACCCGACGACTGGGCTAAATCATTTTTCGCTCATCCGAAAGTGCTGATTGGTGCAGTTTCCCCAAAAACATCCCGCGTAATTTTCTGATGTAATCGCGACCCACCTGTTTTAATCTTTAACCTGTTTCCTTATTCTGCTCCAATTACCAACTCCATTTATAGCTCGAT